CTTAATATGAGTGAAAAACTTGATAGTATGTGATTAAAAGTCAAATTATTTTTTCTTGGAAGTTGTAATTTCATAGTTTGCTTATCCCATCTACTATTGAACAATTGAACCTAACTATGAAAAAAAACCTACATTGGATCTAGTTTTATAATGTTTTTGAAGAAGTATTTTCTGACTGACATATAATGAATGAATTAAAATTGTTGAGACTGTTAAAAGGTTGTAAGCTTGATGAAAGCTAATCATTTGTATGTTTTCCGTGATTTTCCTATCAAAAACTGTTTATGGTGAAAATTATGTTCAAATTCATAAAGTATTTATTAGTTTTAGTTTAGTGAATTCCTCTAATTTCTTCATCATCTCGTCACCAAGATCTTTTCATATAAATGATCCCTTGATGCGATTGACAGGTTATCCGTCTGATTGTTAACATAATTTTTTATCAATAGCGATGAAGACTATTTACATCATATTTTAAAACAATTTAAATAGTAAAACTTACCCATGGAATAAATTTATACTTTCGTTCTACATTTCAAAAGGAAACACACTCCTATGAGTTTTTAATTTAGTGTTTGACGTATGCAATATCAGTGATACCCAGGCAACAGGATTCAGCTGGATTGGCTGAATTATTCACATAGCTATGTAGTAAACCCAATAACTAAAATATCTTTTAAAACTCTTCAGTCTACTAATGATGAATTGTGTAACTTAAAACTATTATTGAAAATGTTATCGATTACTGAATAAGAATTATAACCATTTCTGACTTTAATCTGGTATGTTGCATAACGCAATTTAGAGTTCAGCAGTTATTTCTGTACAAAATCCTTGAGTAGATGATAACATGGTCTTCAAAGTTTAGCAACCAATATATAGGTTTTGAAAAGTGTATAAAACAGAACATTCTAATGTAGATTGTTTTTGAATGGAATATACACAATGACAAATGCCAGGCGGATAGTTACATTTCATTTTAACTGCTATGTTTGTTAACCACTGGAGAGCTCCATACAATAACGCAATATTTGATTTGATTTTCAGCGTTTCATCGTTTGATATTAGCCTATGACATAACTCAACTCCTCGGTAGATATTTCTGTCATTACAAATACACTTTCGGTCAACCGTCTCTATAACGCAATCTTATTTTCAATTAATTTATATAAATAAACACTTCTATGAATCAAACAGTGCACGCAAATCTCGCACAGTATATTCATCTAGAATAACAAAAACAATAATATTATCATCTGATATGGTGGATTCAGGATATGTATCAATGTTTAAGCAGTAATGTCAACAATATTAATAAATCTATATTACGTAGTAGAGTTTAAGATTTAAACTCAAAATGATAGTTGACCAAAGACAGAAAAAACATGATAGGTTCTTGATTTAGAGATATATATTCATCAAACACTTTTAAAATATGTATATGCACCTGAATAAAATATAAGATGATACGAAGTTAAAAACATAGAATTGGTTGGTGAAATGAATAATTTGATATTTGATTACATCAAATAACCGTCTCTGAAACCACAGAGAGTGTAATACTTAACCGATTTCAAACAGTTCTAACAGTTACCGAAGCAAAAAATATTTTTTTAGGCACAAAATAAAAGACTGTTGAATAAAATTATTCTAAATCTGTTCAACTAATAAATCTGTGCTAGAAATTGAATGATTGATTTTATTGTGAACAGTACTGAGAAAAATAATTAGCTCGCAAAATTAAACACGTTGTACATTCTGTTTGATGGCAGGTTTCACTAGAAAATTTATGCGATTTGATTTTACTCATAAATTCTTACTTAATTTTATGAAATCACTTTTTCTCGGGGTTCTGTTCACACAAACAAATGTTACAAGTGAAATACAAACAAAAAGACGTTACTTTAGCCCTAATTAATATTCAGATTTAGTGAATTTAGGTTTGTTATCTAAGCTTTTGAATTAAAATAGAAACTTGCCATTTGATTTTATTAATTAACGATTTTTTTCTTTTGAAAAAAATAAGACTAAACTTATTGCTTTGCAAACATATGCTAACTCTTTCCCTGCGATTGAATCTCACTAACTAGATCAATATTATCAAAAAAAGCTGTGAAACACGTGTGCCATTTGTTTACAAAATAATTGATTCGGTTGATACTATGTAAGCTAAATATTTATCTTGTTTCTCTTACTTCGTTGAAGTATAATTCTTCGTTACTTATACTAGATAAAGAAATATATCTCAATGCTTAAAGATAACTGTATTCAGTTGCATGTACTTTAGTCTAATATGTTACTGGGCTGTTGGATAGTTAACTTTAACATTTTAAAAAATATCAGGTCAAATCTTTTATAAAACTGGTGAATAACAGTTGGTTTATTTTTAAAATAGAAGGCTAATCTGGAAATTATGTTATAAATTTTAGTGTAATACTATGACCGTAAATAAAATCTGAACAAAGTTTATTATTTATTGTCGGCTTGAATTATATCTGAGTTCATATATAAGTGTTTTGTTGAGCCTTTACAATTCTCATATAATCGATCGAAGCCGGGTAAAGAGCAGTATGGCAGCAAATAATGTTGATCGGTTTATTAAATACGGTGATCGGAAGGAAAACGATGAAGTGTAGATTAAAACAATAAATGCCAAAAAAAACCACTTATTGAGCAGTCTGAAAGAAAATCAACAAAATTATCTTATAACTTTACTTTTTATTGGAAACAAAATAAAATTTGATGAATGAATTTTATGCTTTAAAACGAATTTTTAATCGTTATCTACAACTAAAAGCTTAAGTTACTGACCCACAAAATAGGTTTACAGAATAAGAATTCCTCTGATTCCAATAGATCTGTGTTATACAAAATGACCAGACTGACAACGAAAACGGACAACTAAAAACGGCTATCACACAAAAAGATGAAAAAATTTAACACTTTACTTAATAATAAATATTATTCGAAATAATATCACCTGAAATACAGGAAAATGTATTTTAGTCTAGGATAGATAACACAGATCCCTTGTCTGTCATAAGTATTTGTTAAGCTTGATGAAATTATCCGATATCTGCTTAAGTTAACTGATCTCATTTACTGTATCATCAACCACTTATTGATTACTTATCATTTTATTAACTATGAGTTAATATTTTAACTATGATTTATAATTTTCCTCGTTTTAATAAATAAATAGTAATTCCGACATATTTAACTAACGCCTAGTGAATTAAAAGAGTAAATATGTTTAACCATAGTTTGCATAACAGGACATCACACAAATCATTTAAAAAATTGTAGTACACACACTGAAAACAATCACTACACTAATTATGGATTTAAGGTAATGTTTCATCCTAAAATTACTTCAGTGAAGGAACTGGTATCAATCAGCTTAGTTTAAATCTTAATTAACGTAGAATAATAAGTAGCTGAAAAGCTCATATTTTGAAATACCTTGAAATAGCTACACCAGTAACTTCATCAGAAGGAAAATAGCAAAGTGACAGACCAACGCGAGATCAACCTTGATAGCTAGTAAACGGATCTTTATGTCGATTGTGAAAAATATTTCAGAAATCATCACTAGAAAACTGTTGATCGTAGAACAATACAATCATCTCATTCACATTTATCCAGACCAAAGTGAAAGTTTTCAAATGATATATAACTTACGAGAGAAATTATGATAAGTGAGAGAAACACTACACTGAACAAAATGAAGGTTCTTTTTATTTACCTAGCGACTTAGACTGACTAGCAGTAAAACGACTCGATATGTTGTCACTGGTTTAAATAAAACTCCAATGTCCAGCATCGAAACTGATGTTTGAGGTTATTCTTAGGTCACTAGGGATCGACACTGATAAAGCTATTCAAGAGATCAACTAGTGCTCATTCATCGAATCATCCATCTCAGTAACAAAAGATTATCAGTCTGACACTTGAATCTTCTGCGTTGTCATATGAGTTATATAATTTAGAAATTATTAAGTAAACTTAGATTATGTAACATCAATAGAATGCTTTTCTGATTCATAAATCATTTTTTTTATACATTAGGATCAAAAATTAAATACAATCATATCCTAATATATACAGTTAAAAAGCTTTGTGCATATTGTTGACTGTTTAACATTCAAATTTTTGGCATAAAATTAGTACTTTATTTGTCGGTTCCGTTTTATTAAGGTTTTGATAATAATGAGTTTTATGGTCATCAGTGTGTTTAAGTACAAACGGAGAACAACATCGTAAGTGGAATAAATCATTGTTTTCTTATCATACTAAGAGTAAAAATAGTTTTTTTTCAAAAGAAAACAATATTTTCACGTTGCATGAATCAAGCACATCTTTTTGAAACCAATAATCATTCAGACACAGTTGTATATTTATTTCTTCTATAAAAATCTTTTAGTAATGATATACTGGCTTTTGTAATTTAATTATCATGTCATTAAGTTACATTTACAAGCATGTATTAATATAAATATTTATTAAAAGATATGAAGTTCAATAAATTATTGTTTATATTTAAAAACCGCTCTCTACGCAACTAAGCATATGTTAAATTGCTGCTAAGAGTGAGAAGTTGCTGAAAACACTATGAAATCAGCTGTTACTTACATTTGATTGATTACGTGTATTTTTATATGAATGAAAGTATTCACATTAACTTATATTCATCTATTTTATACAATATAGTAGATCCGCAAATATATATATATATATATATATATATATATATATATATATCGTAAGAACCTGCGTTAGAACCAATTTAGTTGTCCGTTCTAACATTAAAATTGATATAAGCATGAAATGTTCAATTTCAGTAGTTCATATATTTTTATCCATTTTTCTATTTTTCACTTCGTTGAGAAGCAATTCTCTTACCTGAAATCTACAAATCATTGGATTTAAGCATTACTTGAATAATTACTACACATTAAATTATTGGTTTACATGTTACTTTTGTTCTTTCAATTTTCTAGGTGAATCATCAACTACACTCATTCTATCACGTTTAGAAGTAAGTAATGTATTGTTAACAGGACGAAATTTTGTGAATTATTGTTTTTTTTGCTTACTATCCTCGTAATAAATTATTTGTATGATTCAGAGTGAAGCTATTAATGAAATCTTGGTTGCCTATTTCATTTAATTTTGTACATACCAACTAAATGAACTCTCAATTCGAAATTGTTGTTCACATCAATCATTATGTATAAATGGTCAGTGGTGTGTTCAATAGGTGTAAAGTTATCATGGAAAGTTTTCATTGCTCAGCTTTTGGTAATATTGAAAACTGCAATCGGTCAGACACTTTTAGAATGTTTAAATCCTGATTGAGGATAGCTTTGATATCCTCATTTATTTAAAAGATTACATTTTGATTGTGCGTAAGTGATGCGACTTTATACTATACTCACAATTCTCCACATATAAAAATAACTCGATAAAACTATAACAAATGGAATTCAATGTAACATTTATAACTATGTATGTTTATAATTTTTAATTAACTTGCATACCCTACCTTCTTTGCAAGTCATTTATTGAAGGAGTTATACAAATAAATCATTTCATATTGAATGTATATTTTTCAAAACAGAATAGTGTCAAGTTAGCCAAGAATTAACGTATACACTTAGGAAAACTTACTTTAAATTCAAACAATACACTTGAATGATAAATTGAAAACAATGTTGAATATCTTTTCTATAAAAATCCAATGTTAGTCAATTTTGTACAAAGAAAAAAACGTTTATCTTGTGATACACTATAAAAAATTAGGTTATTACAATATTCAATTTCTGAAATCAGTTCAGTCTACATAAACCAATAAATAAAATTGAATATGAATATACAAAGTGCTTCATTTTACAGTAACAATATGGCAGTTAACAATTCTAGTTAGAACGTTATTAATGGAATGAGGTGAAGTAAGTTCAATGTTACAATCAAAAAAAAATCATTAGAGATAAGATTTAGTTATTGAATTTGTATTGACAGAAGGAGGACAACTAAAATTGTCTTCTAATATACTTCACAAAATTCTCTTCTTATTCATCTAGTTTACTTTTCGTTTGTACGCTATGGTTGTATTGTTATTAAATACAAACAATTTCATATTTACTTAAAAGCTAAAAGCAGTCTTGTTCTGTATTACTTTGGATGATTTGTTATTCAAGCAATATAATCTTTTCGCTAAATCCGTATGTCGAACGTGGAAAAAAAATATATATATCACATTATCAGGGCGACATGTGAAGTGTGTAAAGAGGGTACAGGCCGAAAGTATTAAAAGATCGGATTAATTGAAGTTAGACTTGAAGACCATTGATTGCCGACTTGAAGGTCCAGATTTTAGGCACTCATGCCTGTAACTGGTGGTCCTGAATCGATACCTCATGACGAGTTCTTGGAGTGCTCACTTCTGAGAAGTCCAATTCTAGGAGAAAATGACCATCGTGAACCCAAAGGTTTTTAATGATCGTTGTTACTTATTAGTTCAGCTTATGCACTTACAAAATACATTCCTCAAATTTTTATGGAGTGTCACATTATAAATATAAAAGGTCGCTTTTTTATTAAGACATTTAGCAAACTGGCCTGTGTCTTAAAGCAATCTCAAAAGAAAAAGAAAACCAAACAGTTGTATTAACAGAATCAGTATATTTATGTATCAGTCACAGTTCCCTTTAAAATTCATCACTTTCGCTCCAGCAGCTAAAAAATCAACATCGGCCGAAAGAAATAGAACACACAAATGATTGTTGTACTTACAGTATGATGCAGACAATGAAAAGCAATAAACACATTTCCATCATCATAATTGTGTACCAATGTTTGTAACAATCTGAATGTACGTTTCATGTTAAAGCGTATTTACTACCTTCAAAATATGACTACTGTTATAGAGATTGAATATATATATATATATATATATATATATATATATATATATATATATATATATATATATATATATATATATATATACGTAATATTACTTTGGCACAACCCAGATGTAAAAAAGGTAATCAGCACATTTATGGTCAACGAAACATTATGGTTTCTAGCGAACAATGAGCTGAACTTTAAAATGTGATTGATAGTGTAAAGTAATATGCCGAGTCTATGTGACAAATTAGTCTTTTCATTCTACCCAAGTTACTGTCCACATGTCTTTTGACCTTAGCAATTATTTGCTTGTAACCTTGGTTGTTTTTATTTGTGTATGTGCATTGTTTGCTTACTCATCGTATGTCTAGCTTATTTTGGTTTGACAACAAAAATACTTGGTCATGTCTCATTACATAGTGTTGGATCCCTAGCGTTCTCCGATTCAGTTTACTTCGCTTTGTTTTTATGCTTTTCATTGTCGTCTGACTGCCTAAGCGAATGTGTAAAATAAGCTTTACTGGGCTTTTAATCACAGTTTTTCAAGTGAAGTTATCCGAAACATTAAATGCAGGAATTTAAGGAAAGGTTCATCTCAAAGCAAATTTAATCTTACCTACAAACTGGAGTCATATCCCCTGCTACTAAGAGTTATTGATGATGAATGTTTGTCTACACTTCCAGTTAATAAGTCCTGAAAAAAATAAATCATGTCTTCTGAACTCCACCGCTAGCTGTAATTCACCTGTGCTGATCTAATGTCTAAAAATCTTTACTATTTAGCGTATTAACAAGAGAATGCTACTGCTTACAGCCAACGGAAACGACCTTATAAATATCCTCTAAACATATATTTTTATTCTTTAGCCAGTCATTTTAAGTATATACCTTGAATATTCAATGTAACGCATCATTAAATCACAAACTCACAAATTTATTCGACTTTTAATAATAAACCAAAGTAGACATATATATATATATATAAGATGGTGATGGACAATTTTTTGTGATCATAGAGCGTAACTATTTTCTTAACGAAACATCAACTCTTATTTTGAATGGTACAAATAAATAAAATAGTCATTCTTCAATGAAAATGTTAGTTTTTCCTTCAAGTAAATAAGATTAAAAAAGTATCAATCGAAAGTAATTAACATAGTTCTACTTCAGACAAATTTTACATAAACAAAAGCTAGTGACGCAAATAACTACCTTGTATAAAAACTTGTTTAGTCAATCACATAAACACAGACAGTTTTCAGATATTTTTTGAATTATAAACACTTTACAGCTGAAATCACCAAAACATTACAACACAAATTGATATTTTGTGTTGTAACAGATGTTTATGAAAATTATCATTCTCAACAAGAAGACAAGATAAAACATCCAATTGTAATCTTTGCAGCTTTCTATTTAAGCTATTTCAGTAGGTATCAATCTTTGAATTCGACCTATTTATCAGATGTCGATGAATAGCTCGATTTTACTAAAGCTGACTGACGAAAGTTTGTAAGTAAATTTCAGTGTATTTAATTATTTCATATTTGTTTAACTTCAAGTAGAAAGTAGATTTGTGTATATCTAAGTAGCTTAAGTGATATTTAATGACGAGAAATCATGGGTTTTTATAAAATCTAACTATTAAGAAAGTGACACTAACATGCGTTATTAAGTGCAATTAACCTCTCTCGCGAATATACAATCTGAGGAAGTTTCCTGATGATTCCTACTAATTATTTTCACCGAATCTCCATTATTTTTAATCATTGTAGCTTCAGTAATAAAAATCAAATTATAGCTAAATGTGCGTTAACTGTAATCGAAGAATAATTTCGTTATAGGACATTTCTTTCCAGTCTCTATTTCCCATACCAGCTCAAGGTAATTCAAAAGACAGCATTTACTATAACATTTCTGACCATTTGATCATCTGAAATAAATTATTTAATTTGCTTTTCTTCTTACACTATACTCAAACATTCCTGCATCCGAAACGAGTAAGTAGCAGTTTCACAAAATTTTTGTAAGTCAGAAAAGTAGATACTATACACAAAAACAAGCTTTGCAAAAAGTTAGAATATTGTTTTCATGATGCATGTAAGGGTTTACTCAGAGTTCAGAAATATTGCTAATTGAAACTTCATGGTTGTCCTTTATTGATCAAAATTCACGAAATAAAATTCCTCAAATCATAAAACAGCGTTCCTTCACATAATTAATACATCAAATCATAAAGACAAGAAAAGATCGTTGTGGAATTTAATAAAGTGTGAGTAAAGTGAATAAACCATATATGGAATAAAACACTGCGGATTTCACCTCAATACAAACTCTGACGTAAAATCGTACATCAGATAAATTTCTTATCAGTCGCATTCATTAAAAAAAATTGACTTCATGAGCGGTATACACTTCATAGTTCTTACAACCGCAGATCTATTTAACAAATAACTTGTTTCTGTCACGAAACAAATATCGAAATTTTCTAATTCACTTCTTTCTAAACACACTATAATGCATAAATTTCAATTCAATATTTAAAAAAATGTAGACATTTATCATACAATTAATATAGTAAAAATTGTTATAAATCAATATTAAGAAGATGACTTACAATCGATGCACTCTCAGCTAGCTATCTACCACGAAAAATGAATTATCAAGGAAAACTTAATAGAAGAATTTCAACTTACTAATATCTATCTATTCATATCTAGTCATTAAAAAACCGCAGTATCCTTCGTTAGTTGAATTAATAAATAAGTTGTTGTAAACAGGATGCTGATCAATGATTTTAGCTATTGCTCAGCTTGTGTGAGTTTGAATCTGTAGAACAAATACTCTGTTCAAATAATTTCTTGAAAATTCAATTTAGCATGTGATCAAGTAATAAGACGAGTTATCTGCTGTCATTGGAGCATATATATTCATAGTAAATAGAATTAATTGACATCCTCAATTTCTATTTTGAAATGTTTTATTATTTTGCTGTTTTGTTAATGCTAGATTTCTTAGCATCTTGTAAAGAAACTTGTTAATTCACAAAAAGAAAATATCAATCATTTTCAACATAAGTGAAGTGTGCAAACCATGAGGAAAAAAAGAGAACAGAAGAACAATACA